TATATATATTCATAAGTGCAATTCTCCTGACAAGCACCACTCTAAAGAATCAGTAGGTTATTCTTTTCTTTTCGTCAGCCGTGGTCCTGTCAAAGAATATAATACTAGCAAAATTGACAGGTTCTTCGCCGTAAACGCTCAGGATAATATTTTGTGAGGAATTCGAGTCCCCAAAAGGAAAACCCAGTTCATAGAGTATAATAAATGATCCGTCTTTCAGTTAGGATTCTGATCCTACTCAACCTATGGTAATGAAGCTTCCCGGCTCATAAATGGTCTTACTTGTTGAGAGGGAGCTGTAAAATATTTGCAGTCCGTCAAAATACGTGATCCGAGACTTTCTAATGATGTCCTCCATTTTATTTTTTTTCTGCTGTGTCATCAGATTATTTGAACCCACAGGTTTTCTCGCGACTTGTCTCTTTAACCTCTGGTTTCTGAAGCTAGCATTCCTTTTTTTATTTCCAGAATAATCATTTATTACAACTTTCGAATCTCAGACTTTCTTTTAACACTATAACCTCCCCCCCCCAAAAAAAAAAAAAAAAAAAATTACACCTGGGTAGAAAATACAGTCCAACGACCTGGACTCTATTCCCATACCCTTGCTTTAGTTCTATGTTATATTGATACTGTCCAAGACATCCGCCTGTTTAAGACAAAATCTTTTCTCTTAGACTATGGGTGGCCGTCTTGGACAATTCGATAGTTATTAAGATACCAACAGGATTGATTATAAGAATTATGAACAGCACATAATGAATATTGCGATAGATATAGGCCAATACTAGAAAAGAAAAAAAACCCCACTTCTTCTTGTCCCAGTATAGCCAGGCCAGTCGTAATCATTTCTTAAATCCCAAGTCTGGATCACGTTGTTCTCGGCACGGAATCGAGACTTACTTTGCGAAGTACTTAAGTACCCAACACGTTTCCACATGCAAAGGAAAGCTCCCCCTTCAACCCCCCCCCCCTTTTCCTCCCCTCTCGCATATACTTCTGCCTGTTCTGCTATACAAATCTCGGCTTCCGTGTCAATAGACCAAATCTCAGTATTACAATAACTTGTTGTTTGTTGGAAAGAAAGCACTCTGGTGTGACCATCAATTGGGGTCATGAGACAGACATTGCTTTTCGCGGGACGCTAAAAAGTAGGACAATTGTTGTTGAATGAACCGCTAGAAACGAGCTATCTGTGGGAGTTATTTAATTTCAATAGCAGACACGAGCTCTATTCATTTGGAGAATTTTATGAGTCAAACAGAGATCTGCTGAATTGAGTTTTTCATTAACTTCGACGTGGGAAGTTTGTTGTTAGCAGTTTATGCCCCCTATCTCTCTCTCTCTCTCTCTCTCTCTCTCTCTCT